GCCCTGGTCTGGATGGTCTTACTACTAAATGTTATAAATGGTTTGAAAATCTTTTAGCCTCCCCCCTACTACAGTCTTTTAATTCTATCTTCTCTTCTTGTCATTTCCCACCTCAGTCTCTGGAGGCCATCAGAGTATTGTTGACAAAGCATAACAAAGACCCAACACAGTGCAATAAGTACTGTCCCATCTCCTTGATCAATGTGGATGTAAAGGTGTATGCCAAGAGCCTGGCAACTAGATTGGCTACTTTCATCCCCACGCTGATTCACAAGGAACATGTTGGTTTTGTGCCCAAACACAGTGCTAAAGACAACACTGAACAGATGGTTACTTTGATCCACTATGCACGCTCTTGTGGGCTTCCTCTCTGCCTTTCCTCTGTCCATGTCGAAAAGGCATTTTCTGGACCAGAACCGGCTACCGTGGTGGAGCCTAATTAAAGAGCTCATTCAGGGCCCTGGATAAAGATGTTAGCACTGAGTGGTGCCAGGTATTGATCATGTCAATTCCTGATGAATTCTTCAGGGATATGGAGAAATCTTTGAGGTTAAGGCTTGCATGGGGATATTCCAGTCAGTGAGGAGCTTTACTCCAGTTTCCATAGATGCTATCAAGTAGGTTTTCCCCTTGTATGAGACGAGCACTTAGTGGGGGAAAGCCCATGTGTAAGGGATATGGTGTTGTCGTAGAGCTGCGGAAATAGGAGCCAACTTTCGGCGACTCTGGCTAGTGATCTGTGACAAGTCAGCAAATAACAATATACCTTCAAACAGCAGTGACATAGCGGGTTTTGAATGTGCAGCAGCCATCACTTTCTCTTTAATATGATAAAAATGCACTGAGCCAGGACATCTCTGGGTACAGCATCTGGCAGGAATGAGGGTTTGACAATTCTATGGATCCGGTCTATATTGAGATCTACCGCCGTGGCATAAGGGAGTAACTCTTTGAGGATTTGAGTTGTATACATGAGGAGTTGTGAGACATCTTCAGGGATGCCTCTGAGTTTAATATTGTTAGCCATTGTATGTCAGATGTGTGAGCTTCATAGTGATCGATCAGAGAATTGTGCCCCTGAGAGAGGTCTCCTAGTCGGCCTTCAACATGAGATGCCTTTTTGGATAAGTGCTGCACAGAGATGGACATCTTGTCAAACATGGCTGACCTATCCTGTTGCAGTAAAGAACAGAGAGAGAGGAGCATATCTTTCAGATCAGCAGATGAGGTAGGGAGTGTATTGGATGGGTAAGATTCCAGTGTGACAGCCGAAGCCTGTGGCTGCGGTGTGTCTGAAGGCATCTGTGTCTCATCATTGTCAGTCTGATTTCCCCTCTTACTTTTGGCTGGATTGCATATGGTCGGGGAGTCTGGAGGAGATTACTTACCCTGTAGCATAAGAGCCTCTGATGGAGCCGGGGAGGAGTGCTGAGACTGGAGCCCTCAGATTGTTGAGAGCACAACCGCGATGGAGAAGGTCGGATGGAGCCGGCACCATCATGTCTTCCTCCTGACGGCATAAATGGAAATAATTTTGTGAGCTTCTGCAGCTTGTGGAGACCCTTGCCCCTTTTCTTCATGTTCACGATTCTTCCACAGAAGGTAGAGGTAGCAGGGGGAGAAGGTAAGGCAACAGGTCGGGCTGTAAATCATTGCTATCAGGGCAGGAATGCACAGCCCCGAAAAGGCATTTTCACTAGTGGGCATTCCCTCCTTGATGTGTGAATTTAAGCTTTTGTGTCCCTGTTCGTAGCTGAGATGGGATGGCTGCATGATCCTTTCTCGTTTACTCGGCGGTACAATTGCATTACTTATTTAGGGGTCCTTATACCTTCCAACTTATTGAATTTCTACCCCCATAAATTATGCCCCCTTGATGCGATCCGTGGAGGATACACTTGATTCTTGAATGAACTTAAATCACACTTGGTTTGGCAGAATTGCATTGTTCAAGATGCATTTGCTCCCTTGATGTTTATATATTTTCCAAACCCTTCCCATAACTCTACCTACTCATTTCTTATGGCGGCTGCGATCAGCAGTGCTAAAGTATATTTCGAGAGGTAAGAGACCACATTTATGGTATGCTGTTTTAATAAGGAACATGGTGGGGCCACCCTTCCTGATTTCGAGACCTATTATAAGGCTACTCATTTGTCTCACTTGGTTGACAGGTTTAATTTGTAAGATCCTGCACTTTGGATACTCCTTGAACAGGACCTATCCCCGTCCCCCTTGACAAACCTGTGGCTCCCGATTTTGCAGCAACCTCACCATTCTGACTTACTTTTTTTTCATCTTTGGTGTTTAGCGTGTGGAACGCCACAATGCTTAGATATAACTTATCTATATACAACTTATAACTTATATGCCTTCTGTTTTAGTTCATCCTGATTTCCCCCCAGGGTGCTGTGTTCACACTTCACTCCCTCTTATGCTTACCAGTGTCTGAATACCACCACCATATTTTACTGTTGGTATGGTGTTCTTTTTCTGAAATGCGGTGTTACTCTTACGCCAGATGTAATAGGACACACAACTTTCAAAAAGTTCAACTTTTGTATTTTCCCAAAAGTCTTAGGGGTCATCAAGATGTTTTCTGGCATAACGGAGACAAGCTTTTATGTTCTTTTTGCTCAGCAGCAATTTTTCGTCTTGGAACTCTGCCATGCAGGACATTTTTGCCCAGTCTCTTTCTTATGGTGGAGTCATGAACACTGACCTGAACTGAGGCAAGTGTGTCCTGCAGTTCTTTGGATGTTGTTGTGGGGTCTTCTGTGACCTCTTGGATGAGTCGTCGCTGCACTTTTGGTGTAATTTTGGTTGGCCGCCCACTCCTGGAAAGGTTTACCACTGTTCCATGTTCTCGCCATTTGTGGATAATAGCTCTCACTGTGGTTCACTGGAGTCCCAAAGCTTTAGAAATGGCTTTATAACCGTTTCCAGACTGATAGATCTCAATTACTTTCTTTCTCATTTGTTCCTGGATTTCTTTGGATCTCGGCATGATGTGTAGCTTTTGAGGATCTTTTGGTCTACTTCACTTTCAGTCAAGTCTTATTTAAGTGATTTCTTGATTGAGAACAGGTGTGACAGTAATCAGGCCTGGGTGTGGCTAGATAAATTGAACTCAGGTGTGATAGACCAGAGTTAAATTATGTTTTAACAGGGGGGCAAACACTTTTTCACACAGGGCCATGTGGGTGTTGAGATACACACACACACACACACACACACACCTACACACCTTGTTTTAACTGATTCCAGCTTGTCAGAGAAATAAGCTAAGACATTTGCCCTATTGAAGATGGCAGTTTGAAGATATTTTAGTAGAAACAGAGCTGGCCCCAGTATGTCTTATACTAGCTGTGTTAAAGCATGATGAATCTTTATAGCTAAATAGATAGCTTAAACTCTGGCAGATTGGGTGCCCATAGCCACAGAAGAAAAGTCTAAGGTGACCCAACAGTCCAATGTATGGATGTGTTAGTTATGCATTTTTTCTGTATCGTGTAACTTTACAAGTTTTTTCAAAAGCTGTATTATGTATTGCTGATATACTCAGGATTTGTTAATCACTATGTTGGTGATTGCCTGTTTTTGTTTTTTCTTATAAGAATTAAAACCACAGCCTTCAAATAAGAAAATCAGTAAGTTTTCCCATATCATGAGCAGTACATTAGTTTTGCTGTTAGTCTTTAGTATAAGTTGCCTGCATCCACACTTAACTACTTTGCTTTTAGTCCTAGGCATAGATATTGGTCACATAAATTCGGTGGTGTACTTTCCATTCCCTTATAGCTGCAGTAGCATTACCTCATTTGACTTGCAATTTTATCACACCCCATAAAGTACTGTATGATTCTCCTGCACAGATCCTGAATTATTAAAAAAAATAGATGTGTGAATGGTGGATTCTAAATAAAATGTGTCTGTTTTAAGTAGTCATTGTGCTAGGCTACTGACTATATTGCAACCTTGATATATAGCTGTATATACCTAAATGAGGCAAGTAGGTACAGAGCATATGACACTAAAAGTTGGAGCCACAGCCCAACTAGGATTTGGGTAAATGAAGAACAGGAACGTCACATTTTTATTGGACATAATTGCTTATAATAGCCTCTATAAACTGTTAGCAACTGTGCTTAATTACTGTATTCTCAGTACATAGCCACTCTGTTTTTTTAAACTGTAAACACACATCAATTTACCGTTGATTAATTTACTATGAGGCTATCAGTGCTCAGACTCTTACAGGTATCCTAATTTCTGAAGCTCGGATATTTTTTAATTAACTGCTAACTGGTCTAAAGGTGTATACACCAATGGATGGAGCCAAGCAAAAGCACAAAGTGGGGATTAGGGAGAAATTGTGTACAATCTGAGGCTACGATCTAAGGTGATCACTAGGTAAAAATAAAATAACCTGGCAAGTGTGAGTACTTGAATATATCACAGGGTTTCTGAAATGTGTTATCAATGTTATTAAATATAACAGCTTCTCTTTGTCATTAGATTAATAATATAAATAATATTATAATTATTTATCTCCTGTAAATGCTAGTTAGTTAGCTGTATCTGGTTTTATTTTGTTAGATGATACACAAAAAAAGTTATAAAGTCAGAGAAAAGTTACAATTCTTTTAACACAATCATTCTTTCTAGGAGGTGAGTCAGAAAATATTGAAGCCAAATTGTTACAGCCAGATGATGGTGTTTTTTTTTTGTTTTTTTTTATAGCATAACTGGTCAGCAATGGCAGCCTACATATAATTTGCCAGGATTATTTTTTTTAAAAAGAATGCAGATGGCTATACTTTAACATGTTTGTGTAGTATAGGTAGAACATGTTTTAACATGTTTTAATCCAGTTTGGAAGGCAGTGCAAAATGATTTCATGAAATGTGTAAACCAAAGATTTGCTTTGGTTTATATTTTCATCATTGTGTTTTCACATATGAAGATAATTATTTTGTGTTTTCCTTATGACATAAAACAGTGAAAAAAAATGATGAGATTGAAGATACTCTTGTTATTAAAAAACGGATAAAGGAACTGAAGGTGCTTGAGCCAAAAATTGCCCAAAATTTGTGTAAGTATTTTTAAAGTGAAATTAAACTTTCAAACTTGTTTTTTTTGTGTTATGAATTTAAGTTCTTACATAATTCTGTTTTTCCAAACAGCTGGCTCTAACTCTCTTGCCTCAGCTTCCTGAACTTACTATTTAATACAAGATCACAATGGACAGCACAGTATACACCCCACTCCGCTGATCCCAGGTTCCATTGTGTCCCGTGCAGGCCCAGAACTTGCAACACAGTTCTGTGATTGGACCTCAGCACACAATCTCCCTCTGATCTCCCCTCCGGTGTCTGAATGGGGAAGTGATGCATATTACATCACTTCCGCATTCATCTGTCATTCTCCAGCTAGAGCAGCTGGAGTGGGAAACCGACTGTTTTGCTCTTTGCTTCATCACCTTCTTTGGGGGTCCCAAGGTGACATTAGGGGTCTTAACGATCCCTGATGTCTCCATAAAGAGGACCTGTCACTGTAAATTTGCTTTTACATATGGGGTATTTCCATCCCCCTATGTGATAGCAATAAAGTTTTAAGTGTAAAACAAACATTGTTTAAAAAAAGAAAGTCACATATAAAAAAATTTTTAAAGTCCCCCACCCTCTCATACAAACACAGACATGCACCTACATGCAAAGACTGATTGCGCCCATTGTGCCGCAGATGTTACATATCACCGCGGACATTGCAGTACAAGCAATAGTTCTAGGGCCATTAATCACTGTTAACACTAACCTGATGGGCGGTAAAAGCTTTTAAAGTGTTGCCTATGGACAATTTTGGGTATGGTAGTTTTTTGCGTTTTCACGCACACTCACATTTTAAGGCTTAACATGTTTGGTGCCTATTCACCCAACATAGAAAGTCCATGGTCCCATTGCACTCCTGAACGCGAAAATCGCTTCAGAAAATGGGTGCTGCGGTAGTCAACGGGTGGCAGCCGTGACAATCATGAACAGAAGCAGAGACACCGGCACTCCAGATTTAGCTTTGCCTGATTAAGGGGATCACTTGCGACCCCGAAACGTTAGTTGTTTGTTACTATGATGCACGTCAATAAATAGAAATTCTTTTGCCTACTAAATCTGGAGTGCCGGTGTCTCTGCTTCTATTCACCCAACATGACCCAGTCTTTTATATTTTACTAAAAATTGGGTAATAATAAATATTTTATGATACAGCATAGGGAAAACCATTTTTCACAATTTTCATTACTTTTCTCTTTATATAGTAAAAAAAAAAAAACTGCAGTGGTGATTAAATAGCACCAAAATAACGTTCTATTTGTCCCCCCAAAAAATTATATCAATTTTATTTAAGTACAGTGTTGCATGACTCAATATATGACAGTCAAGGTACCTCAGCACTGAATACTGAAAAATGGCCTGCACAGGAACTGGGTTTAAACACCCCCAGTCATCAAGTGGTCAAACTGGATGAAAAAATACACATGTGGACACAAACATATACATACACATTCTGAGTAAATTAGGTTGATGATCTTTTTTCCTATATACTGCTGCAGTCTGTACACTGCACCACTGTTATTTGTTTGCTTCTGTTTTTTTTTTTAAAGAACTGTAAAGTGAGGTGAAGCAAAAAGAAAAGTAAAAGATAAAAAAAAAAAGCTCTAGCACTGATTGGTGGTTAAATGCACAATAAAGTTATTTACAATTGACATAAAGGTTCAGTTTGTTTGTAACAATCACATTGTCACATATGGACAGTTAAAGTGACACTAAAGGTTAAACTTTATTTTGTTTGAAATCCCCATGCCAGATTGTATTGCAATTTGTGCACTATTGTGTAGAGTTTGTTTTACTTCTTGTCCGATAGCCACCACAGGAAGCGAGAGGAAATACCTGATGTTAAACAGGGTCACCAGAACTAGTGTCCCTATTGGAAGATTTTCCATGTATTCCTGTTCTGATGAAAAACACAAATTTGCAAATCTAGCAACTTCAGCGCGAAATTATAGCTAATTATAGCTAATTTGCCTACACACGTCAGGTGGTCATAATAAACTGGCCACTCAGTGTATATATATTGTTTATTTTTTACTGTTTTACTTGGTACATGTTTGAAAGTCCTTAGTTGTGAGTTATTTTGAAGTCGATACCACAGTGTGGTAGCTTTTGTCAGTCAGCATGTGTTCTATTCCTGTAATAGAAAATGGTGCACGGTGGCTCTAAAAACAAACACTATATGTTGTTTTGTCTTATTAACCTGTAAATTAGATATATATGATTTACTAATTAAACTGTGGCCCAATGTTTAGCCATTTTCTTAGGTTCATACCGCTTGCCTTATGAAGACATTAAAACAATTGTATTAGAAATTGATGAAACACAGCTATCAGAATCCTTGGTTCAGGTAAGGCTACTCAAATTGAAACTTTCTTGCCCAGCAAAAATTGTCTAAACTAAAATTGCAGAGAAAAAGGAAGTGCCTGGGGGTATATGTTGTATTTTCAAATCAGTTATTTTGTGCCCTCAAAGGACCCTGAATTGTAGACCCAGGCTGTACACAGGGCCTCAGCTTCCTTCCATGAAAAGAGCCTCAATATTTTCTATAATCTTACAAGCTCCCATTGCTTTTGTGGTTAAAAAACCTTTGTGAGCAGCGTACCCAGGCTGTAATTTTGCAAAATGGCAAGTATATTTTATGAGAACACCAGGGCTACTGTACCTTTATTGTGCTTGGCAGTGCATCAAGATGCAAGTGTAATGGTGGGCTTTGATCCCTCACCTTAGAAAGCATCTCTTAATGAAAAAATGTAGCTCCATTCTAGACAAAGTCCAGCCTGCTTGATATTTCCATAACACACTTGAAATCTGGCTTGAAATCTGTAAACAGCAAATTGAACAAGCACACTGTTTTTATTATTTGAGATAATGAATAAGCTGTTTAGTGTGCCAGGTCTTATTTAAAATGCATTAGAAGTTTGACTTTTTTCATTGCATTATTATTTTTTTTTCTATGTTTACATAACTAGAATTTAATAAAACACATGCCTGAACAAACCCAGCTGGCTACATTGGCCAAACTTAAAGATGACTATTGCAGTCTGTCAGAACCAGAGCAGTTTGGCGTTGTGGTGAGTATTAATTAATTAATTTATTTATTTAAGATAATTCTGGTCTCCATTATTCAAGTATCTATTTAAAAAGAATTTTTGGATTACAAAATTGCATTTGTGACTCTATCAAGATGAATTGCTTTACTAGAGGATGTAAATCCACTTCAGAGCTATACAGCTTTTTATAGTCATGAGATAAAAGGTGTTGAGATATACAGAATTATCTGTGCTAATTCCCATAAATGGTTTTCAGCTAAAAGGTCACAGTGGATAGAATTTATGCACCGTTGTATTTTCTGAAATGATGTCATTTTGACTGGGAAAATGTATAAAAGTAGGATTTCATAAATTAGCCCTGAAGAAAATCACTATATATATATATACTAAGTGTGTGGGGGAGGGGGGGGGCAGTTTGTGCAACATCAAGATATGAGCAAGTTAATGTTTCACATACAGCAATTATCATGGCAGACGTATTTTCCCAGGTTTGGCGTATAAGAACTGCCCATGATGTCATAGAATATTCCTACATTATCCAATGCTACACTGCTAGGAAGTGGAAGCCCAGGAGCTGAAAATTTCAGTTCCTGGCATTTCTGCTGCACTGCAACTTTCACTGACAGTCACTGATTTAAACAGAAAATTCTACCGAAGCTGCTGACAATTACTCCTGAATTTGAAGTCTGCAAACCAGTGATCATATTCTAAACACTGGCAAGCTGCACGTAGCTTTGCAGACTTTCTTTTGGCTCCAGAGTACTGGATACCACACTTTTGTTTTCCGACCAGTTATCCAGTTTTGGATTCATTATATCTGTCTATATTTGCACTATATTAGCTAATATACAGTATTGTGCAGAACCTTTAGGCACACGTGGGAAACATGATATAAAGTAAGATGATTTCAGAAATATATATGTTTATTTTTATCAATTTACAAAATGCATCTACTGTCCATAGAAGTCTGGCCAGAAGTGGGTTTTCATGAAAGAATTGCGGCCAAAAAAGCCATACCTCAGATGTGCAAACAAGGCTAAGTGACTCGACTACAACAAGTGTTAGAGTAAGATAAATACATACACAAACTCACTTACATAGGTTGAACTGGATGGACCTTGGTCTTTATTCAGCCTTACATACTATGTACCAACAGTCACCGGGTTACATACAAGATAGGGACTGTAGGTTTGTACTTAAGTTGAATTTGTATGTAAGTCGGAACAGATACATTTTTAAGTGTAACTCCAGCCAAAAAAAAAACACATTTTTTTTAGTTTTGGATAGCATAGGGAAGGGTAACATTTTTTTTTCTGTCTGTTCCTGTTGTTCAGTAAAAATATAATATAATAAAACATTTTTTTTATTTAAAATGACACACCCAAAAAAGTTTTTTTATATTTTTAATTTTATTTTATAAACTTAATTTTTTTATTTATTTTGCATTTATATTTTTTATTTACTTTTGCATTTGCATCTGCCCACTACCTGCTTTCAATCAGCAGGGGAGGGGCCTGAAGGAGAAAGTCCTCTATCAGGTCCTCCCATGCTGATTGACAGCAGGCAGTAGGTGGATGCAATAGCCAGCCTGCTATTGGCTTTTGCATTTTACAATATCCAATAGCAGTCTGGGTATGGCTCTCAGCCTGCAGATGAGGAGGAGGCAGGGAGGTGGGGCAGAGGAGGAGCGGACGGGCCGGGAGAAGAGGAGCCGACAACCGGCAGAAGAGGAGGTGAGGAGGAACCGGCCAGTACAGCAGCAGAGGTACGTGGGGCAGCGGAGGAATGCATCGGTCTGTGTCCCCGCTGCCTCTACCAACACAGGTGGGGAGCAGCGGGGATTTGAAGGGACACAGGCCGCTGCAGCCACTGCGGAATTCGGTTCGTAAGTGCGGGTTGTCCGTAAGTCGGACGTCCGTAACCCGGTATGTATGTATGTAACTCTATTACGAAAACATAGGAACATGGGTGCAGAAAAATGGCAGCATGTGCTCTGGACTGTTCTGCCAGACTGTTTGCCGAAGGTCTGAAGAGCAGTACAATGATGAGTGTATGCAGGTAACAGTGAAGCATGGAGGTTCCTTGCAAGTCTGAGGATGCACTTCTGCAAACATAGACCCCAAACATAGAGACAGTTGTCATTAAAAGAGAACTATGGGAGGAGTGCTTTTCACTCACCTCATAGTTCTAGCCGAACTGTAACAATGAGACATACAGGCGTTCGCTCACCTCTCGATCCTGTCACGGCTCTCTGCCGTGACGGGAGGGGCTGGATTCCCCCCCCCCCCCTCCGATCCTCCAGCGCTGACTGGCGGAACGGACGGTTTTTTTTGGGTACAGCTGGCTCTGCCTCTAGATAGGCAGAGCCAGCTGTCAGTCCCACAGCTGGGGGCGGATCCAGACATAATTGTCGGGATCCGCTTAAGCGTCTTAGTATACCGCGAGCAGCAGCTCGCGGTATACTACCGTGTCTCAGTATACCGCGAGCTACAGCTCGCGGTATACTGAGCCTAGGGTGACGGGAGGAAGCTAGTTTATGTCCTCCCGTTACCCTAAGGAGAACTATGGGGAAAAGACTTAACCCCATAGTTCTCCTTTAAGAACTATCCTCAGCGTATAGAAGAACAAGGAGTCCTGGAAGTTATGGTTTGGCCCCCACAGAGTTTTGATCTCAACATCATCGAGTCTGTCCAGGATTACATGAAGAGACAGAAGGTTTTGAGGCAGCCAACATCCACAAAAGATCTGTGGTTAGTTCTCCAAGATGTTTAGAACCACCTAACTTCCAAGTTCCTTTAAAAACTGTGTGCAAGTGTAGCTAGAAGAATTGATGCTGTTTTGAAGGCAAAGGGCGGTCACACCACATATTGATTTGATTTGGATTTCTCTTCTGTTGATTTACTTTCCATGTTGTTAATTGATAAAGATAAACTAACACTTTTATTTCTGAAAGCATTCTTACTTCACAGCATTTTTTCACACCTGCCTTAAATGTTTGCTCAATACTGCATATCTAAGACTGTTTAGCTCTAAGTCCATTCCAATACACTGGCTTGTTACAATTCTCCATATTGTCAGTATGGGGATTTCTTCCAATGGAGACCCTTGTGCCCACATTCTCATCACTACTAAAGTATATTTACCCTGTAATACTTACATTAGTAGGTTTATTTCGAGCTGTGGAAGGGTTGCTGTCAGTAACTTACCTTTTATTTAAGTGTGTGTATAAAAGAACAGTGTTTAGTTCCATGCTAGCTGTATGTTCAAAACTTTTTTTTTAATTTAATTTTTGTTTACATTTTTGCCACTTTTTGTTTCAGGGCTTTTAATTCTGTTTTTGATAATTTACTATGATAGAGAGCAAACATTTTCAATGTGCAATGAGATGAATTCTGTAAGAAGTTGTCCTTCATGATTACTTTCTATGCTAAAGGATTCTGTTTTGTTGGTCCCTCTAGAAGCAAGTGGTTTAAAGCAGCAAATTATTATATAGCTATTTCATAAAATATATTCCTTTCTTTAATCAGATGAGCAGCGTGAAGAAGCTCATTCCACGTCTCAGCGCAATTCTATTTCGCCTTCAATTTGAAGAGCAAGTAAACAACATCAAACCAGATATTATGGCTGTCAGTGAAGCATGTGAGGAGATAAAGAAAAGCAGAAGCTTTGCTAAACTGCTGGAGATAGTGTTACTCATAGGAAACTACATGAATGCTGGATCCCGCAATGGACAAACCTATGGATTTAACCTCAGCTCTCTTTGCAAAGTGAGTCATTTTAAGTTTTTTGGTGCAGATCATTTATTTTTGTATCATGTTAAATTGTGTGTGTGTTGTGTGTGTGTGTGTGTTGTGTGTGTGTTGTGTGTGTGTCTTACATGCATACAATCCAGATAAAAACAGCAACTGTTATAGCAAACGTTCACAGTAGGCACTCAAAGGTCTTCAAACAGGAGTAATTGTTTAGAGTGTAGGGTTACACTTTAAGCCCAACACTCAGTATTTTACATTTCACTTGCAAATGGTGAACAATCATTGGTCAGAGGGGCTTCTCAGTGGTTAGGTGACCGTAATTACCAATGAGTGCTCACCATTTGCAAGCGGGATTAAAAATACCAAGCACAGTGCTGTGTTATGGTGCAGCTGCTGCATGTAAATGTCTACACACCACACGTAATCTTGTGATACAATTAAATGTGGTTATGAATCAATCACCCTCCCTGGCCTTAATAATCCATCCTTATGACCGCCACTCAGTGAGGAGTTTCAGAGCGTGGCCAAAAGGGAGGAGTGGCCAAAAGGGAGGAGTTGAGGGACCTGGAAAGCAGGAGGTCTTTGGAAGAGCAGAGGGGACGGTTAAGGTGATACTTTGAGACAAGGTTTGAGATATAGTTGGGGGCAGATTTGTGGATGGCATTGTAAGTGGTTGTTAATATTTTGAATGGTATCCTTTGGGCGATTGGAAGCCAGTGGCAGGATTGTCAGAGGGGGTTAGCTGACACTGAGCGGCTGGGTAGGTTGATGAGTCTGACAGCAGCATTTATCATAGACTGAAGGCGGTATAGCCTGTGTGGAGGTAGTCCAATTATAATATAATAAAACATTTTTTTTATTTAAAATGACACACCCAAAAAAGTTTTTTTATATTTTTAATTTTATTTTATAAACTTAATTTTTTTATTTATTTTGCATTTATATTTTTTATTTACTTTTGCATTTGCATCTGCCCACTACCTGCTTTCAATCAGCAGGGGAGGGGCCTGAAGGAGAAAGTCCTCTATCAGGTCCTCCCATGCTGATTGACAGCAGGCAGTAGGTGGATGCAATAGCCAGCCTGCTATTGGCTTTTGCATTTTACAATATCCAATAGCAGTCTGGGTATGGCTCTCAGCCTGCAGATGAGGAGGAGGCAGGGAGGTGGGGCAGAGGAGGAGCGGACGGGCCGGGAGAAGAGGAGCCGACAACCGGCAGAAGAGGAGGTGAGGAGGAACCGGCCAGTACAGCAGCAGAGGTACGTGGGGCAGCGGAGGAATGCATCGGTCTGTGTCCCCGCTGCCTCTACCAACACAGGTGGGGAGCAGCGGGGATTTGAAGGGACACAGGCCGCTGCAGCCACTGCGGAATTCGGTTCGTAAGTGCGGGTTGTCCGTAAGTCGGACGTCCGTAACCCGGTATGTATGTATGTAACTCTATTACGAAAACATAGGAACATGGGTGCAGAAAAATGGCAGCATGTGCTCTGGACTGTTCTGCCAGACTGTTTGCCGAAGGTCTGAAGAGCAGTACAATGATGAGTGTATGCAGGTAACAGTGAAGCATGGAGGTTCCTTGCAAGTCTGAGGATGCACTTCTGCAAACATAGACCCCAAACATAGAGACAGTTGTCATTAAAAGAGAACTATGGGAGGAGTGCTTTTCACTCACCTCATAGTTCTAGCCGAACTGTAACAATGAGACATACAGGCGTTCGCTCACCTCTCGATCCTGTCACGGCTCTCTGCCGTGACGGGAGGTCCAGCGCTGACTGGCTGGAACGGACCGGGGAGGGGGCCGGTAAAGCTGGCTCTGCCTCTAGATAGGCAGAGCCAGCTGTCAGTCCCACAGCTGGGGGCGGATCCAGACATAATTGTCGGGATCCGCTTAAGCGTCTTAGTATACCGCGAGCAGCAGCTCGCGGTATACTACCGTGTCTCAGTATACCGCGAGCTACAGCTCGCGGTATACTGAGCCTAGGGTGACGGGAGGAAGCTAGTTTATGTCCTCCCGTTACCCTAAGGAGAACTATGGGGAAAAGACTTAACCCCATAGTTCTCCTTTAAGAACTATCCTCAGCGTATAGAAGAACAAGGAGTCCTGGAAGTTATGGTTTGGCCCCCACAGAGTTTTGATCTCAACATCATCGAGTCTGTCCAGGATTACATGAAGAGACAGAAGGTTTTGAGGCAGCCAACATCCACAAAAGATCTGTGGTTAGTTCTCCAAGATGTTTAGAACCACCTAACTTCCAAGTTCCTTTAAAAACTGTGTGCAAGTGTAGCTAGAAGAATTGATGCTGTTTTGAAGGCAAAGGGCGGTCACACCACATATTGATTTGATTTGGATTTCTCTTCTGTTGATTTACTTTCCATGTTGTTAATTGATAAAGATAAACTAACACTTTTATTTCTGAAAGCATTCTTACTTCACAGCATTTTTTCACACCTGCCTTAAATGTTTGCTCAATACTGCATATCTAAGACTGTTTAGCTCTAAGTCCATTCCAATACACTGGCTTGTTACAATTCTCCATATTGTCAGTATGGGGATTTCTTCCAATGGAGACCCTTGTGCCCACATTCTCATCACTACTAAAGTATATTTACCCTGTAATACTTACATTAGTAGGTTTATTTCGAGCTGTGGAAGGGTTGCTGTCAGTAACTTACCTTTTATTTAAGTGTGTGTATAAAAGAACAGTGTTTAGTTCCATGCTAGCTGTATGTTCAAAACTTTTTTTTTAATTTAATTTTTGTTTACATTTTTGCCACTTTTTGTTTCAGGGCTTTTAATTCTGTTTTTGATAATTTACTATGATAGAGAGCAAACATTTTCAATGTGCAATGAGATGAATTCTGTAAGAAGTTGTCCTTCATGATTACTTTCTATGCTAAAGGATTCTGTTTTGTTGGTCCCTCTAGAAGCAAGTGGTTTAAAGCAGCAAATTATTATATAGCTATTTCATAAAATATATTCCTTTCTTTAATCAGATGAGCAGCGTGAAGAAGCTCATTCCACGTCTCAGCGCAATTCTATTTCGCCTTCAATTTGAAGAGCAAGTAAACAACATCAAACCAGATATTATGGCTGTCAGTGAAGCATGTGAGGAGATAAAGAAAAGCAGAAGCTTTGCTAAACTGCTGGAGATAGTGTTACTCATAGGAAACTACATGAATGCTGGATCCCGCAATGGACAAACCTATGGATTTAACCTCAGCTCTCTTTGCAAAGTGAGTCATTTTAAGTTTTTTGGTGCAGATCATTTATTTTTGTATCATGTTAAATTGTGTGTGTGTTGTGTGTGTGTGTGTGTTGTGTGTGTGTTGTGTGTGTGTCTTACATGCATACAATCCAGATAAAAACAGCAACTGTTATAGCAAACGTTCACAGTAGGCACTCAAAGGTCTTCAAACAGGAGTAATTGTTTAGAGTGTAGGGTTACACTTTAAGCCCAACACTCAGTATTTTACATTTCACTTGCAAATGGTGAACAATCATTGGTCAGAGGGGCTTCTCAGTGGTTAGGTGACCGTAATTACCAATGAGTGCTCACCATTTGCAAGCGGGATTAAAAATACCAAGCACAGTGCTGTGTTATGGTGCAGCTGCTGCATGTAAATGTCTACACACCACACGTAATCTTGTGATACAATTAAATGTGGTTATGAATCAATCACCCTCCCTGGCCTTAATAATCCATCCTTATGACCGCCACTCAGTGAGGAGTTTCAGAGCGTGGCCAAAAGGGAGGAGTGGCCAAAAGGGAGGAGTTGAGGGACCTGGAAAGCAGGAGGTCTTTGGAAGAGCAGAGGGGACGGTTAAGGTGATACTTTGAGACAAGGTTTGAGATATAGTTGGGGGCAGATTTGTGGATGGCATTGTAAGTGGTTGTTAATATTTTGAATGGTATCCTTTGGGCGATTGGAAGCCAGTGGCAGGATTGTCAGAGGGGGTTAGCTGACACTGAGCGGCTGGGTAGGTTGATGAGTCTGACAGCAGCATTTATCATAGACTGAAGGCGGTATAGCCTGTGTGGAGGTAGTCCAATGAGGAAGAAGTTGCAATTATCAAGACAAGAGATATCAAGTGAGTGGTTGAGTAGTTTTGTTGTTTCATTGGTGAGGAAGGGACATATTTTGGAGATGTTACGAAGGTGAAGGTGGCAGAATTTTGATAGTGATTGGATGTGAGGCAGAAAGGTGAAGTCTGAGTCCAGGATGATACCTAGTACCTTGCCATGGGGGCAGGGATGGATAATTGTGTTATCAATCTCAAGGGAAAAGTTAGAGGAAGGTGCACAGGCAGGAGGAAATGTCATGAGCTCAGTTTTTGAAAGGGTGAGTTTTAAGAAGTGTTGTGACATCCAGACCAATATGACATGTATTAGATTAGTGACACACAGGGGCGCTGAGGGGGTGAGAGAAAGAGTAGAAAGATATATGTGAGTGTCATCAGCATAGAGATGGTAGTGGAAGCCATGTGAGGTTTTTAACTGACCCAGGGAGGAGGTGTAGATAGAGAAGAGGTCCAAGAACACAGCCTTGGGGGACCCTACAGAAAGAGGCAGAGGGGAGGAGGAATTAGATTTGTAGGTGACAATAAAGGAGCGCTTAGATAAGTAGGAGGAGAACCATGAGAGAACAGAGTCTTGTAGGCCAAGCGAGTAGATGTTTTTTTGAGGAGGAACAGGTGATCAACAGTGTCAAAAGCAACAAAGGTCTAGTACCAAGAGTAAGGAGTAGTGGCTGTTGTTTTTAGCAGCTAGTAAAACATTAGTAAGTTTTAGGAGGGCGGTTTCAGTGGAGTGTAGGGGGCGAAAGCCAGACTGTAAGGGGTCGAGAAGGTTGTTATCGGCGAGGTGGCAGCTCAGGTGGCTGTAAATAAGGCGTTCTAGGAGTTTAGATGTGAATGGAAGTAAGGAGATTGGTCTGAGATTGTTGAGGTTGGTAAGCTCCAGTGAGGGTTTTTTTGGCTATTGGGGTGACCAGTGCATGCTTTAGAGGGGAGGAAAA